TGTCCGTTTTACAGAACGTCACGAATTTTTCTAAGTAAGTGATTCATCAAACTACAATGGAATAAACGCTTTTCAAAGAAGTTTTGAAGAGTATCGAATATAAAGATTAGGCCAGATACAGTGTAAAAATAATTATGTGGGATTATTCAAATAATTATATGGACTGTTCAAATTGGTTATTCGAATACGTCGTAACTCTTTAGCATTATCATCTTTCTTGAGTATACTATGTAAATTTGATTTTTCAACATAATTAATTTCTAATTGGTAAGCAAACTGTCCGTTGTGATAACGAATTAATTGGTTGTAGAAATATTAGTTTAGATTTTGTCACAAATCAAATATGTCTACATTTGCATTAAATTTATGTTTTCCGAGAGAATAACAGCAGATTAATTATTATCTGAAATCAAGCAGAATCTGTTATCTCATAAACATTTTAATGGATAGTTATATGATTATAAAAGGGCAGATTATAGTTATGATCAGTTTCTGCGGTCAATCCACCGTTATCTAATGCTGTTATCTAATTCTGTTATATTTATGCGGTGATTCTATTGATAAAATTTATAGCAGACACTTTCAAAATTTAATCTCGACAGGCTGTCTCAGCATTTTTAGAATTGTGTCTGATCTAATTTTTCCATATTTCAGCAAACCATATACATATACACACGCGAGATTATTTAATGAATTATTGTCGTATCTCCTTTTCAGAAGCACTGGCGACAGCTCATACTTCTATTTGTATCGCATTTCGAACATGTGGTACTCGCCCATCGGATTCTTAATAACGTTCTTACTTGGACTGCTTGTCAGCAATTTATCTCGTTTTTTTATTAAGAATCACAACGACAAGTTAGATATTAATTTATTCTTTCCCGTAATAGCGCGGCGTATACGTTCTAGACGACACAACTCAGCGATTGAAAAAAGTTCTCCGTTAGACAGAAGGTATTCTGTCAACGATATAATCCACGGGAAGGATAACGCTACGAATAAAATCTATACAAAGCTCTAACAGTTTAATAATCTTAAGATAGGGGTTAGATATTTTGTACTTATATCTATAGTCGAATGGAATTTTACAATTGGATCAAAACTGAACAGAAGGGAGAAAGCATGGAATAAAGGTATTATTTATCTATAAACCTATAGTACAAATGTACGTGTACGCTACTCATGAGTCGGGATACACACGTGACTGACGAAGACTGGCTCATGGGATTGAGAGCGGTATAGCAGAAGTATACCTATATACATACAATTACAAGGTTAGCTGCGAGCCAAATACATTTGTAACTTCTGTAAGCAAGTACGAATAAGCTGAAAGACATTACATCTGATAATAAGGGTTAAGTAAGAGATGGATACTGAGACGGGTTTGTTGGTATTCAATCCGAACGCGGAATCGTAAACGTACTTATATATTACATAATGTCCTATAAATTTACCAGTAAATTTAAAATTACCGTATTAATACGTTAAATTACCCCCTATTAACGCGTTGATTCATTTCCCATCCATGGTGTTGATGTAGTTCTCCCTTTTCTCCAATCCGAATGCATAGCCATCCTTTTCTTCTGTCTTTTTATCGAGTTCCCGAATTCCTTATTCTCCGTTGCTGTTAGTCGTTTCAGTTTGTTTTGCAAACTCTTGCAAAACAATCATTTTTCACATTTATTGTAAATCTTCTCTTTTGCTTTTTACTTCTCATCCGCACATTTATTCTTTATATTTGTCCTTTGTATCCACCAGAAATGTTCGATATATTTCGCCATTTTGTACGTCCTTTTCTTTATCTGTTTTTTCTTCTCCACTAGCAAGGCCACTGGTTTTCTCGCCATTCTTTTGGTTTATAGTAAAACTGCTTCAATAGTTTCAATAATTTTAACAATCTCTATATCTCGTCTAATTTGATGTCGGATTTCTCCAATAATTGCTGATGTAGTTTTGTTAAAGAACTTTTCAAACATATGGCTACAAATTTCTATATCCACATGGTCGAAATTGCAGTTTCTTGCTTGCTTCTGCAGTTATATAATGTATTGTGTTATCATTTTTTCTGCATTTTGCGTTAGAAACATGCTTTTCGTATGTCGCATTCATTTTAGGTTTAAAGTTATTTCTAATACTTGCACTGTTCTAGAACCTTACTCTTAAAAAATTTCACGTACAAAAATATTAAAGAAATTTATGGTATCTGTAACGTATATATGCTATAATATTTTTGTATTTTCGTATGCAAATTTTTAGAGAATTAAACCTCTGGCTAAAGACCAGCTACTTCAGTTTTTATATCGAATAGAATACCATATATCTTGCAAATCAAATTCTACATAGTGCATCAATACTGCTTTCTTCCTCTTTTTATTCTCCTTTTTCTTACTTGCTATCAGCAGTTTGAATGCCATTAGCAAACACGTTTTCATCTCTGATATAAAATTCGATTTATGAAGACATTGCTAAGTTAAAAGGTTTTTATTAACACTGTTTTAGTAATTAATATAACTAGAGGAAGCATATTATGTAAAAAAATTATAAAATTTCATTTTATAAAAGCAATGACTTTTATGACTTTGAGAAATTATTTTTTTTTACATTAAAAATTAATTCTATAAATATTTGTCTTTCTTAGACCGTAACTTTTTTGTCTGAAATAATTTTCCGTATCTTCTATATTTTTCGATATATTTGTATTTTTCATTATGAATAGATCTCTTTGTATGGAGCAAGTTTTTCTTTATATTACTTATCTTTACAGAAAGTTAGATTAAATTTATTATTTTTAAACATTAATGTTATTATTAATAATGCATTCCAATACTCACTGTTAATACTGAAAATCTATAGTATATACAAGTAATGTGAATTATAAATAATAGATTGTCAATACTGGTAGTGATTATTGTAGCCTAAGAGATATAGTATACAAAATATGTTTTAAAATGATAAATTAAAAATAACATGAGAAAACGCCAATATGGCATACAAATTTTGCTGTTTAATGTTATTTTTAAATGTGAATCTTAAAATTCTCAGTTTAAGTAAAAGCTGATTATCGAATTATTAAGTTGCTTTGGCAATTTAACTGTGATTTCGTACTATTTATAGAGCTGTGTTTTAAAGATCGATTACATACAGCGCGCAGTTTACTTGAACTAATTGTGAGAATCGTAAGGTTCACATATAGAAATATTATTAAGTACCAAAATACTTTGTACTGTATTGGTGTTTTTTCATCTTAGTTGCCTGACATATTCCACGATCGATTTAAATTAATAAATTAAAAACATATTATAAAATAAGGAAATAACGATATAAAAAGTAACAACAAAAATAACAAATTTATTACTGTTATTGTAAAAATATAACAATATTATTGTTATCATTACAGACAGAAAAAAATAACATTCGTTATTGAAAGAAAATAACGAAAACATGTAATAACATAGTTATAAGTAACGCGTTACTTTTCCATCTTGCAAAATACAATACTGTATATGAAAACTGCTATGATCTTTTGTCAGATAAAAAACATTTTCTAGATATTTATATTTTGAAAGTTTTTCGCTTAGCGTTTGTTTAAAAAATTTAGTTTAAAACGAAGTAGTCCAAAAGAAGGAGAAATTATCGGCGACCTTCCTCTACTTGATAATCGTATATCACACGGAACGTTTATGGAAAATGTTACATGCCACAGTGGTAAAGAACACCCAATAATTAACAACGACGTAGCTATAATTCTTTATACAGAAAAACAAAACTTAAGCCACTTGTTTTTCTTGTATAGAAACAGTATATACTTTCAAATATTCGAAAACAACCTGTTTTTTTTATTGTTGGTAATTTTTTAAATAAAATTACATATTTAAATAATGCATTTGTTACGTCAAATTATAATAAAATTTTTTACTTGTTCTCTTTTCTTCCATCTTTTTCTATTTATCCATATTTTATATATATTTTTTAAAATATATAACATTACATTATGGGTAAATAATGCGATAAAAAGAAAAATATAAAAATATCCATATCTTTAAAAGTTGTTGATTTAGTATGAGTCGTTTCAGTATTTATTTATCAAAATTTATATAATTACATAATTTATAGTAACTACAATTGAATTAAACTTATTATAAAAAAATAATAACTTAATATTAATTTAATATACCATAATTTAATTGAACATGTATTATTGCATTAAAAATTTTATTTCGCTGTTTTTCCTGTTATACGGAAATGTGATTTTTGCTTTGCATTGCAGATTTATTCCAAATTTCGATATTTATCATTATCTCTATCTTAAGTTATCCGAGCAAATTCATTTGATCATCACGTAGAAAACAAAAATTTTCTTCGATTATATAGATAGTTATATGAATAAAAAATTTCTAGAACATTTGAATGACACGTAACACTTTCCTAACACACTTAGATGACACATGGCAATTTTCAGATTCCGATTATTTTCGAAATCGAAGAAATTAACGCACTTGAGGGTATGCGATTTATCGTGGCCGCTCCTGGTGTGCATGCAAAACAATTAGTTGCAGGTGGCAGAATTTCAGGTCTCAAGACGGTAA